GCATTTACTCTGTTCTTTGATGCTACAAAAAAGGACTACTACGTATATTTTGCTGCATGAGTCCTTTCTTTCTCTTTGACATACACACACACACACACATATACATATGCTTAGTAGCAAAATCACTGAGTCAAAGGGTATGGACATTTTAGACACTTTATTTGCATAAGTTCAAATACATTCCAAAATCAACCACTGGGTGATTGAGGTCTACTGTTTCTGATTCCTCCTTACCTAGACTATTCCACTGATCTACTTTTCTATTTTTTCATCAGTAAAAAAGATATTCAATGATCATTACTTTATAATTCAACGTCTGAAAGTACTATTGCCCTTCATTCTTAATTTTTTCCGCATTATTTCCCTTTTGACATTAGACCATTAATTCAAGAAGCACTGACTGGGAAATCATAGGACCTGGGTTCAAATTCTGACATTGATGCTTACTACTTTCATGACTTTGAGAAAATCACTTATCATCCCTCAGCCTTAGTTTCCTCATCCGTAAAATTATAGAAACAGACTAGATGTCCTTTGGGTCCATTCTAGCTCTAAATCTTTCGATCTAAATGAATTATTACTTTGTCTGACTTTGTAAAGTATTACCTAACATTAATAGCTAGCATACATATGTGTGTGTATATATATATTAATATATATGTATAAGTATATACGCATTTTTTACAGAGACAGAGAGAAGGAAGAAGGGAGTAAGAATACAAAATACTTTATATATTATCTCACTTGATCCTCACCAGAAGTCTATGAGGTAGGTGCTATTTTTATCCCTATTTTACAGATGAGGAAACTGAGGCTGAGCAGTAAAATGACTTGACTAGGGTCATACAACAACAAAAGTAAATGTCTGAGGCAGAACTCAAATTCAGATCTTCCTGACTCCAAGTACAACACTATCAACTATTCCGTCTAGCTGTCGTAATAATAGCTAGTATTTATATTGCACTTTAAGGTTTGCAAAGTACTTTACAAATGTCACGTCACCTAATCCGCACAACCCCATTTCGATTCTCACAAGAAGCAGGTGCACTTCCTTGGGAGGAGAGAAAATGCACGCAGTAAAAGAAGCCAGAGCAAGCTTTATAGTTAGTAATTGCCTAACTCCTCCCTTCTGGATCAGGATGGGTCCTAATCCTTCTGGGTTACAATCTTCCTTATATGCCCCACCCCTAACATACATTACATGCCTAGAATTGTGTTATCACTCCCTGCCCTGGAGGGAGAAGTCAGCCTGTCTGTGCTGATTTCTTATCTACTTATGTGGAAACTTAACTCATTTCTCACACTCTATACAGCAATAACAAAACAGAAAAGAAAGTAACAGAAAAGGAAATCCAATTCAAAATAACTACAAAACACATAAAACATGTGAGAGTCAATCTACCAACACTCAATACACAGAAATACAACTACAAAATATTCTCAAGAAATTAAAAATCATAAATAATTGGAGTACTTATTGCTCATGGTTGGACCATGCTAATGTAATAAAATGACAATATTACCTAAAATAACTAACACATTGCTATCCCAAACTACGTAAGAGTATGCTACAAAGGTAGACAAAGATAATTTTAAAATTTGGAGGAACAAAAGTTCTGAAATATCAAGGGATATAATGAAGAAAAAAGAAGGAATGAAAGGGATTGTAGTTCTAGTACTCAAATTATATGAAAAAGCAGCAATCCAAAACTATTTGGTTAATGCCTCAGGGGAACTCCTCCAGCAAGTCAAGTCAACAAGCATTCATTAAATGTTTACAGGAGGCCAGACACTGTGCTAAGCACTGAGAAGAGAAACGGAAGCCAGCAGAAAGACAGCATGCCACATATGGAAGGAAATGGAAGAAAAAGACTGCTAGCAAACTAGAGCTTTGGGTTATCCCTTTGTGACATAAGCTCTTTATGCCTGAATTCATTTTCCGTTGAATTCCCCCATGTGCTTGTGGAACAGCATGTCGTACTTTGGGTGGGGTATTCTGTACCAGCCTTTTTTTTTTCCTTTTACACACCCTTTTTACCCCCTTTTTCTAAAAGCCTCTTAAGGTTGAAGAGAGGTGGTAGGCTATAGATGCAGAGTGTGTTATATGTTGGTGAGATGTGGGTAATGCACTGGTTTATCTTGAATTATTATAATCTTTTGTTACAAAAATAAAAAACTATTTGGATAAAATAGATAAGAATCAGAAACATTCAGATTCAATAAACCTAAAAACATCAATTACTTGGGAAGAAACTCAATGAGACAAAACTTCTGGAAGAAGAGGCAGAAATTAGAGTGAGACCAACGAGTACTTGATGGCACAGTAAATACAGTGCCAAGCCTGGAGTTAAGAAGTCTCATCTTCCTGAGCTCAAACCCAACCTCAGACTCCTATTAACTGCGTGACCTTGGCAGGCCACTAAACCCCATTTGCCTCAGTTTCCTCATCTATAAAATAAGCTGGAGAAGGAAATGGCAAACTACTCCAGTATCCTTGCTAACAAAACTCCAAAAGAGGTCACAGCTGGATATGACAGAAAAACAACTCAACAACAGTACTACAGAGAGTGTGAGAAATTTAAAAAATGGTGGAAAACATGGATCTAGCCTTGGTTGATTTTATGTTCTAACTGGAGAAGGCAAGATAACTCTACGTGAGATAGCTGGTTTTCTATCTATTGAGCCAGTTGGCTCTGTGACTTGGAGCAAACAAGTTATTTTGTCTATTATAAATACCCAAATTAACCACAAAGGACATATGAAGAAAGATTCCATTTGCATCCAGAGAAAGAACTGATAAGTATTAGTATGTATAGAACAAGTTTACATATATATGCCTATTTGTGTCTAATAGTAGCCAAGGGGAGGAAGGGAGGTGTTGAAATTTACATGAAAATTTTGTTGTATATTTGAAAAGAACAGCAAGTTGTGCATGTACAATCATCTTTTTATTGCACTATGTTATGGAAATGCTTGTTTTATTCCATAAATTAAAAATAAAAAAAAAGAATGTCAATTAACTGATTTGGCTGACTGGAAAACGTATACACACACACACACACACACACACACACACACACACACACACACACACATACAGAGACAAAAAGGAGGGTTTTCACCCTAACAAATTTTGTGAAGTTTCTACCACTACCACCACCACCCCACCACCCTCAGAAAAAAGGAAATCTAGAGACATTGGATCATATGTGTTGAGCTTAAGAGCACTTTGTTCAAACACCTCATATTTTTCAGATGCGGAAACAGAGGCTCAAAGAAATAAAGGGATTTGCCCAAGATCACTCAGGATTCCAACTTAGGGCCTCTGTTTCCAAAGCCAATGCCAAAGGCATAGAAAAACACTTTAAGAATGCATAAGCAAATGTATGTGAATGGGTATAAAACTATAAACATTAGTACAAAGAGGAGAACCTTTACATTTATTTGGTTGCGTCAAGTGTGCCTTCAAAATGGAATAAATTATGCAGGAAAACCTGAGGAAAAAGAATTATTCAGTGACCGTATCAAGGACAGAGTGCCCGGTGTGGTTTCAAGGTAATCAATAGCAAAAGGCAAAACTAGTTAAGGGGTGCTTTTGTAAGGTATACTGTCCCTTCTAAGAAACTATTCTGTTCATGTGAAACAGTATACTGGAGAGAGAGACAGGGAAAGGGTTTTTTTGTTTTTGTTTTTTTGCTTTTAGGCAATTGGGGTTACACAACTAGTAAGTGTCAAGTGTTTGGTCTGAGGTCACATTTGAACTCAGGTCCTCCTGACTTCAGGGACGGTGCTCCATCCACTGTACCACCTAGCCACCCCAGGGAAAATATTTTTAAAATGAAAAGTTAAATCAACTGTTAAGAGTACCTAAGGTTGCTATCACAGATTCAACATTTTGATGCCTAAAAGGAGTAGGAAAATTAAGATTATTAGATTGTTTTTAAAAGATTAAAAGATTGTTTTTAATAAAAATTGGCATACAAATAAATAAATAAATGTTGGCGTATAAAAAAAAAATCACAGCTTTCAGATGGCATTTAAACAGTTTGGGAACAGAAAATAAAACTGTGGCAAAAATACGAACACTTAAACCAAGTTAGGAAAGCTGCCTCCTTAAATTAATCTTAGCAGTTTTTATTTGAAGTTATTTTCCTACTACTTTCAGGAACCAAAATGTTCATCTCTAACAGCAGCAATAGCACACTTCTTTTGATAGTTGATTTAATTCTTTTCCTTCCCACAAAAATATCTTTTTCTGCGTTTTCACAACTAAACTGTTCCATGTGAATGAAGCAGTATCTTAAATGGACAGCGTAACTTGTATAAGATATGTTTTGCTCAAACCTGGCAAACCATATTCATGATGTCAAATGACATTTTCAAATTAAAATTTTACAGCATAGGAATGGCTGCAAAGCACAACTCCCCCAATTTGTAAGATTAAATGCTTCAATTTGCCTTCTTGATAAAACATGAACACTGTTAATTTACTTGAAATCAACTCAATAGGTCATCCATGGATTTACTTAAACGGTGTGACATGCATGGTATATCACAAACATTTTCAGACTTTTTCAATGTATCGATCACTCATTTTTTTCCTTTCCTTTTTCTTTTTGATCTTTGAAAATATTATTCATCATACAGAATGCTCTCTGGGAAGGGAAAGGAAAAGAATACTGGGGCAAAATTCTGGTGATGTAAAAAAAAACAGTAAAAACTTGTTTCTAAAAAAAATTTAAAAAAAGAAAGGAAAGAGGAAAAAAATAATAGTGTGAGTCCAAGAGATCTTAGAGATTTCAAAGATTTGTGAATCTGGAGACCTAAAATGAAAAGATGGCCAGATGCCTATATATAAAAAGAGTCCATGAAAACAAACTTGTGAGAACTTCAATATCCATCCATATAATAGCAAGGAAAAGTCTCATTTCATGTGGCTTATCAGAAATTTATATAAAAAGAAAACTATTGGTATTATTTGCTTTAAAGAAACAAGAGACTTAAACATTGAAGTTGTAAATTTATTATGCATTAGGAAGCTTATTTACTTAAAAACCAAGAGCAGAGTACAAAAAGCCTGTTACCTCTTTTCAAGGCAGAACATGTTTCAAAATATATTTTTTTCTTTTAAATGTATTCAGTCAGTACACAATCGTTTATAAAAGCTGTATATATATATTTTTTTCAGTCAATACCCTCATTACATTTATAAATACAAGATTTACACAGCACCCCATCAGGAAAAAAATTAAAACTCCTTACAAATATCTACATATATTTCATACATATAAAACATTCATAGGAGTGCTTCATTAGAGTAGGATGTTGTTCAATGGTCCTTTTAATGGTGCAGCAAAATACATATAAATTTGTGTAGATTTTTTTCCCCCATAAAACATCTCAAAAGTTACTGAGGGACTTGTAGTGAAACTAGGCCCACTAAAGCATCACTCTTTCAGAAAGGAATTTTACATGAATGTTCCCATGAGATTCAGCAAGTGAGATAAAGAGACTGATATGAAAGCTAAATATGATAATAAATGCACATCACAGAGCAGTTAAGGCAGTAGTGCAATTAATGGGAACAAAGACTTCACAGGTCAGGTAAGGGAGATGGGGAGAGGGAACTGAGTAATAAGTGTGCGCAAACTTGGATATATATTCCCTTAGCACCCAGTGATTTTGTCCCACACAGTTAGGAAGGTTCACATTTACTGAGCCTTGGAGGAAAGGGAGTAACTTCTATTCAGTGTGCCCACGTAAAGACTTTTCTTTTCCTTTGAAATCATTTTTGAAACTTTGAATTTGGTGGTTCAACATGATCTATATTTAAAGAACATTTTCTTTCTATGTCATAGAAAACAGAACATTATTGCTCTCTGTATTATTACTGCCCACTGGCATGATGAATTTTGCTGTAGTCAAGACCTGGGAAGGATGAAATAAAGACACTGCAAACTGATGTTAAGATGATTCCCTTCCTAAAAGTGACTGTAAAGTTTAGCCCTCTCCCCAAACCACGTGACTGAATGGGATATACATTCAAGGAAACTAGCAGAAACACAGAAATGAACCTTAACTGTCTCTTGTAAAGGAAACATAGTCTAATTTAAAGCCTGCATGGTTTGCTTCAAGCAATTTCAAAAGGTTGTAGTCATCATGACTAACTGCATTTCTCCTTTTAAAGGTAGTCGAACTCCTCTCTCTGCTACAGAGGTGCCCCTTACATTGGAGTTTCAAGGTTAGGGCTCTGGACCACCATTAGAGGTGCATATCATTTGCAGATAAGAATTTCAAATCTTACCTTGTTCCTAATATATCAACAGAATGGGGGGAGTGGGGGAGGGTGAAGATCAGTCTCAAAAACTCAGCCCTGGGAAGGTGTCAATATCATCACCACAGGGTCCTATAATTTTCATATTCTTTCAGCCCTTTCCACAGTTCTCTGGAGTGGTAAGCTTGCTGTAGCTCCCTCCTTCTGCAATGTCCACAACTCAGGACGTGGATGTGCAGTCTCCCCCTAAGAAGAGAGTTCTCAAACACTGCTATCTTGCAGCAGGGGTTCAATGTCCTCATCACTGCCTCGTTCTGGGTTGGTGGGCAGGTTGCCACTGACGCTGCTGTTGTGCTTCCTATTACTGCTGGCTTTGCTGTGTCTGGGGATGAATAAGGCAACCAGGAAAGCCAGGAGGACTGCAATTGCACCAAACAGGAAAGGTGGGCCGGGAATGATGGCTCCCTGAGATAGCCGGAGAAACAAGAAGAAAATAAAGTGGAATGGAGTCAACTGTAGATGACAAAAATCTGTTCTTTCCAAACATCCTAAATCACTCAGATCCTTGCATGTGTTTAGCATTTCTGCCTTCCCAAAATATATGAAGTCACACTTTTCATGTTTGCTTTCTGCACTAAATGACTGCTCTTAGGAAGAATCCAAAATGGAATTTTGGGGAACCAAAGCAAGCTACACTATCCAAATTAGACTATTTCTTCATCTTATAATCCCTCATCCCCATCCCAGAAGTTCATGTCCAAAATTTCTGTTGTTCTTCAGTCGTTTTCAGTCATATCCGACTCTTAATGGCCTCATTTGAGGTTTTCTTACAAAGATACTGGAGTGGTTTGCCATTTACTTCTCCAGATCATTTTACAGATGAAGAAATTGAGGCAAACAGGATTAAGTGATTTGCCCAGGGTCACACAGCTAATAGGTGTCTGATGCCAGATTTGAACTCAGAAAGATGAGTCTTCCTGACTCCAGACCTAGCACTCTATCCACTGTGCCACCTAGGAAGTATAAAATGAATTAATCTTCTACTTTATCTAACATAAAACTTCTACATTATATTTCTAAATAAGGGTACCTATACTAAATGCTCGGAATGGGAAATGTACCAAAGTAATATAGTAGTCTTCTAGTTTCAAGGATCTAAATCTGAGAAGTTAAATCATTTTAAAAACTAGATTGATTGAATGATTGAGGCTGTCTCTCCCCTACCTTACCCAGGCTGAAAGCACTCTATCTCAATAATGATCTGCATGGAAGCTTTTACCAGCTAGGGCTGGAAATGACCCACTCCTAGTAGTTTACCACACTGGTGCTAGACTTAGTGTGGACATTCAATAGGTTTCAGTCCTTTGAATACATGTCATTTTTATGTAAAGTGAGTGTGTGTGTGTGTGTGTGTGTGTGTGTGTGTGTGTGTGTGTGTGTACATACATATAAGAACTATCCAAAAGTCCTGGAACAAAATTTTATTGTCATCTAGATAAAACCAGTTTGTTATAAGCTATGAATTTATTACTAATTAATTTACCTTACTGCCAGAATCATGAATGGCACTTTCTTTAGAACTCTGAACTGATTCCAATTCTGTTAACTCCACATGGAACAAAAAGAAGATGAAGCCATACAGTGCTGGTCCAAGGCCATTACACAGACCTCTAATTCCAGTTATTATTCCTTGGGCAACTCCTGCAGCAAAATAAAGGAAAGTGAGGTCATGGACATTTTCACTGACAGGGTTCTATGTCTGCAAAACGACTACATCATGTCTCAAAAGTCTGGCATAATATCATAGTCCTGTGGATTCTGTGACTTGCTGCCATGCTTCCTGATATCAGGAAAAAGAAAGGTTTTAAAAAGTTTAGCACAGGGCTTGGCACATAGTAAGTGCTTAATAAATGTTTGTTGATTGATTATATACCTAGTCTCACTGCCTGGATTCGCCTTCATAAATCCTGAAGCAGACTAGAAAGTCAGTGAGGTCCATGGGCAAATAATGGCTTTATGAATCTATCCCTCCCCAACCACCACCAAAAATCTCCAACAGAAGTAGCAAAACAATCCTTGGGCAATTCACACATAACCTATCTACTAGTTAACCACTCCCCTGACACTTATAGTGAAGATCTGCAGAGCATATCAGAAGTAAAAGTTTCTGGAGCTTTCTAGGGCTGATAAGATGTCAGCTAATAGCTTATGTTATATTTACCGAGCATAGTAAAACTCACAAGTCCTTTTTTCTGCTCACTACATCAACTTGGAAATACATCTCATTCCTTTTTCATTGCCTGTACTGGCTCTATCCACAGTATCTGTCATTGGCCACAAATACACAGTGTCCTCAAAGGCTTGGTATGCTTTAGTAGCCTAAAACTTCTGGAACATCCTATATATCTGGACAGACAGAAGGAACAGTATGTGACCACATTCTATCTGAACTACTATTAGTAGTAATAGTGGAAGTTCAAAAAAAATAATAAAACTCACATTTATATGGCACTTTGAAGTTCACAAAGTACCTTCCTTGTCAAAATAAGGATGTGAGGGAGGGGAATCTTATAGCATATTAGAAGGAACAGTTTGTAGCCAAAAAAAAATTTTTTTTAAATTATAATAGTTAGTAATTACATTTATATAGTGCTATAAGCACTGTATGATGCTTTATAAATATCTCACTCTATCTCCAGAACAACATACAGGGAGTTAGGTCCTATTATTATCCCTATTTTACAGCTGAGCAAACTGAGGCAGACAGAGGCAGTAAGTGACTTATCCAGAGTCAACAAAAGAATTAATAAGTGTTCGAAGTTATATTTGAACTCAGGTTTTCCTGACTCCAGCTCCAGTGCTCTAACACAACCTGGCTACCCCATATACCTTTATACTTAAAATCTGCCTCATTTATCTTCCCACTGTACTTACTTCTTTCTGTTACAAATGCTGACCACCCTAACTCAAGGCACTAGAATCAACATGGGGCCTATCTGGCCTGTTTTATGATGAAGTAAAAGAGTCTTCAGTTATGTGCAAACCTGCAAAGACAGCAGGATTGCTTTTCTCAGATATTCAAATCCATCTCTTCCTTGGGTTCCCACAGATACTACTATTCAATAAATGAACAGCCCTACCTTTCAGACATGGCTGTCTCCTCCATTTGTTCCCATGCAAACAATCTCACGTATGCCCTTATCTCATCTGGGCTGCTGAATTGTTTAATCTTGTCCCAAATTCCTCTACTGCTCAATGCCAGATTCCCGGATTGTTTTACCTTGAAGTAAGCACCAAATGTGTCCTTGATGTCTCCTTATATCTCTCTGCTTCTGACCCTGATAAAGTCTGCTCACTTCCCATCCCTCTTGGACTTCTTACATATCTACAACTGTATAAATATGTCATTATAGTCACTGAAACTTTGAGACCCACCGCCACTTGGGACTGAATCCTCCAGCTGCGGTTTTTTATAATAAACTTTAAACAATTTACCTACTACTCAGACTGTGGTCTTTTGTGTTACCATCACAAGTTTGTATCCGAGTCATACTTTAAAATTACAAAGCACTTTACATGCATCATCACATTTGATCTTCACAGTAACACTAAGAAAGAAGTTGCACAAATATTAATATCCCTATTTGGCAGATGAGGAAATTGCAACTCAGAGTAATCAGTAAAAAGCGATTTGTTCAAGGTCACATGCCTAGTAAAGGGGAGTACTGGAATGCAAACCCACATCTTCTGACTCCACGTGTAGGGCTCTTTCCACTACACTAAATTGTCTGAACTGCAATAACCGAGAACCCCCTAGAGTATGCAGGGGTGGGGAACCTGAGACTCCAAAGCCACATGTAGCCTTCTAGGCCCTCGGGTGCAGCCTTCTGACTGAATCCAAACTTCATGGAATAAATCCACTTAATAAAAGGATCTGTTCTGTAAAACTTGGATTCAGTCAAAAGGTTGCACTTGAGGACTCAGGAGGGCCACATATGGCCTTGAGGCCACAGGTTCCCCACCCTTGCGACCTATACCATAACAGAATTTTCTGCATTCCTTTTTTTTATTCCTCCTCTAGTTATTACACTGAAGCTGTGTATCAGAATGTATCACAAATATCAGTGTTTGCAGCTTTCAGACTGGTAAGATGCCAGGTACATAAAAACCATAGTTTTTATTCAACTTTCATTTTATAATAATAGTATTGACAAGCATCTCTATTAATAAAGCAAGTCTAAAAGTGTATCCCAGGGCTAAAATGTAAAGAGCAATCAAAACTCCATCTATTTGCTTCTGAAACTATAGTTGTGTATGTGCAGAGTGGTTGCTAACTTGTTTCTCTACCACTAGGTGGCGCGCATTCGCTCTATATCTAACACTGCCCCACCCCTCATTTTTTCAAGAACTGGACTGATTTGCGCTATTTGGGTGAACCTTACATAACTGCCTGGAAGAAACACAGAGAACGTTTTGCCTCACATGTTTGCTTTTTTCAGCTGATGTGAACAGTTTGTCTAATTTCTGTCCTAATTCAAATCTGCTATAGAGTCAGAAAATAATGAATTGACTATATCCAATATATACAAAGTTCTGGTCCTCAGCTCCAATTTCATTATGGATATTTCCAGTATCATGGAATAAAGAACATTATCTTTCCATATAATAGGCACTCTCCACTATCTTCCAACGATTAATTGGGGGGGGAGGGGGAGATAAGGAATAGGAAGAATAGAGTAAGAAGGGAAAGGCCTAATTGTGACAGTATTAAAAGTTAGAGAGGAGGAGAGAATATTAAATCATCAGTGCCTTGATCCTGAAGAACTTGTTCCTTCATCATTTTATCTTTAGAATAGTCTTAACATCTTACTTAAGGTTTTCTCCACTTGTCTGTCACATGCAAATCTCAAACTGGCCTTTTCTCTGTCATAATACTCTACAGCAGGAGTGGGGAACCTGTGACCTCGAGGCCACATGGGGTCTTCTAGGTCCTCAAGTGCATCCCTTCGACTGAATTCAGGTTTTACAGAACAAATCCTTTTATTAAGAGGATTTGCTCTATGAAGTTTGGATTCAGTCAAAAGGCTGCAACTTGAGGACCTACCGGGCCACGTGTGGCCTTGAGACCACAGGTTCCCCACTCCTGTTCTAGATCACTATGTGGTATCTGCTGCTACTGGCCATATCCTCCTCTCTTCCTCCCCTGGCTCCCAAAATACCACATGGCAGAACCCTTCCAGGGGAATTTCTCTGTATATTTCTTTATTAACTCCTCTTTCTTTTTCCAACCCTTTAATAACCTCAAAGATCTCTCCGTAGCCCTCTCTTGTCATCTCTTTGCACATTCTCCCTTGCCAATGCCATCAACTCCCAATGCTTCAGTTACTGTCCCCACATGAATGACAGATTCTAATCTCTGTGTTCAGGCCCTACAATTTCACTTAAGAACACCAGTCCCACATCTCCAACTCCCTACTAGATGTCTCTACCTTGATGTCAATACCTCAAAACCCAATATCCCCAAGACAACTCCGACTCCAAAACAACCACTCTTCTGACTACTCCATATTTCAGTTAGCTGCACCACTCACACTCAAAACCTAACTGGTGTCTGACTCACCTTTTCTTCTCCAGTCCCAAAGCCAACCATTTAAACAGTACCACCAATTCCACTTCTAATTCTCAAATTCAATCCTTTTAGATTTCGAGACGGAAGGGACTTTTGAGATCATTTACTCCAACTCCCTCATTTTACAGCTGAATAAAATGAAACCCGGAAGCTGTCTTGACCAAGGTCACACGGCAGCAAAGCAAGGAAACAGAACCCAGGTTCTCTGACTCCAAATCTGTCACCCCTTCCAATGCCACCTCCCTCCTTGCTAATCTCACTGTTAACCACTCACCTGGACTACCGAAACAGTCTTCTCTCTTTTACTCTCTTCTGCCTCCAACATATTATCTGTACACTGATAACAGATGTATTTCCTCCTTATGCACAAATATGATCAAATCAGTTCTTTACTCAGAACAGTGAGTAGTTAGCCACTAATAACTCTGCCTAGCAATCAAAGCCTTCTACTTTCCCAGCTATATCTCATATTATTTCCCTCCATACTACCATACTAAAGTATCAGACCAATGTATCATACTAAAGTAAAAAAGTAACAATAATAATAGTATTTATATAATGCTTTAAAGTTTGCAAAGTACTTTACAAATATAGTCCCTTTTGAGCGTCACAAGAACCCTGGAAGGTGGGTGCTATTTTCATCTCCATTTTACAGAAGACAAAAATGAAGAGGACAAAAAGTTTAGTGACTTGCCTGTGGTCACACAGTAAAGCATCTGAAATGGGAAATTGTTTTGCTTGACTACACAAATTTGTTACAAGAGTTTTATTTTACTTTTTCAATGGTGGAGGGAAGGTGGAAGAAAAAGGAAGACTTTCTAACCAAAAATTGAAAAAACATTAAATTCAAAAGAAAATATGTTGGGGATACTCTTTGACCCAGTAATATTATTACTAGGTCTACAGTCCAGGTCCAGGACTCTCCTCTTTTAAGACCCAACTAAAATGTCACATCCTCCACCATTCACAAAAATTTCAATTGCCTCCTCCCCCAAACTGGAAATAATTCTCCTTTCTCTGACCTCATATGCATCCTGTAATTCTTCTAGAGTATCATATTCTACTCTGTAGAGGAGTTATTACAAAGTATTACATACTTAACTGTGTTGTATCCCTTTTGCAACTGTATTGTATCCCTACAAGATCCATCATTGAAGGCAGAGACCATATCCAATCTCTGTATTTTCTCCCACGACCAAGCACAATGCTTTGCACTTTAAAAAGGTTATTGAATGAACATATGATGCACCTCTTTAATCTACTTTTTCTACTCTCTCTTCTAACAACAAAAATCTTTGTTTCCTAAGTCAATTAGCAAATGACATGATCTTTTAACAAACTATATCGCTTTATCTATCATGATCCATACTGACTTAGAAGACAGAGCTAATCAAAAATATAAGCAGTTATTTTTGATGATAAAGAGTGAAAGTGAGAATTCAAAATTGAATGGAAAGAAAGGCAAGATAGCTCCACTAGCCTTTTTAATATTCAAAACTAGGGATTATAGATTTTATAAAAACATGAAAAGTATGAAAGCCAAGCAGAAATAAAGCAGGTAACTGCAGGAAAAATAGTTTTGTAGCAAGTTGATAAAGGTCTCATTTCCAAGACAGACAGGGAACTGATTCAAATGCATAAGAATAAAAGGTCATTCCCCAATTGATAAATGGTCAAAGGATATGAACAGGCAATTTTCAAACCCAAGCTATCAATAGCCATATTAAAAAAAAATGATCCAGACCACTAGTAATTAGAGAAATGCAAATAAAAGCGACTCTCACCAACAGGATTGGCAAAAGTGACCCTCCAAAAATGAAAATGATAAATGGGGGGAAGGGGAGAACACGAGGAGAGGAAGCAGGTATTCCTACAGGAAAACAGGTACATTAACTCACTCACTGTTGGTGGAACTATGAATTGATCTAGCCATTCTGGAAAGCAATGTGGAACTATGGACAATAAGTTATTAAACTGTGCATGTCTTACAACTTAGCACTACCAATCCTAGTATACAGAGATCAGAAAGAAAATGGAGTCGTACGTACAAAAATATTTATAGCAGCTTCTCTCGTGGTGGCAAAGAACTGGAAATCAAAGGTGCTGATGAAGTTGGAAGTAGCTAAACAAATCACAAGCACGTGAATATGATGGAATACTATTGTGCCATAAAAAATGATGAAGGAGACAAAGAAACCTAGGAAGACTTTTATGAAATGATACAGAGAAGTTAGAAGAATGATTTCTACATGGTAAAAATAATCAGCTTTGAATGGCTTAAGAGCTCTGGTCAACACAATGACCAAGCACGATTTCAGAAAACTTATAAGGCATACTACCCACTTCCTGAAAAAGAGGTGATGAAATCGTAGCACCTATTGAGATATTTTTTCTGGACATAGCCAATGGGAAATTGTTTTGCTTGACTATACAAATTTGTTACAAGAGTTTTATTTTACTTTTTCAATGGTGGAGGGAAGGTGGAAGAAAAAGGAAGACTTTCTAACCAAAAATTGAAAAAACATTAAATTCAAAAGAAAATATGTTTGACCCAGTAATATTATTACTAGGTCTACATCCCTAAGGAGATCAAAGAGGAAAAGGACCCCAAAATGTACAGAAATATTTATAGCAGCCCTTTCTGTGATACCAAAGAACTGTAAACTAAAGAGGTACCCACCAACTGGGGAATGGCTGACCAATTATGCTATATGAATGTAATGAGCTATAATAAATGATTAAGTAGAAGGTTTCAAAGAAATCTGGAAAGACTTGTATGAACTGACATGGAAGTAAACAGACCCAGGAGAACAATTTCTAAAAAACAATACTATGGTAAAGACAAATAATTTTGAAAGACTCAAGAACTATGATCAATGCATTCATCAACTATTATTTCAAAGGACTCAAGATGAAACAGGCTACATACCTCCTAATAGAGAGGTAATAGACTAAGAATGCAAGCTGATATATACATATGTATACATATATATACATATATGTACATATGTGTGTGTATGTATATGTATGTGTGTATATGTATATGTGTGTGTGTGTGTGTGTGTGTGTGTGTGTGTGTGTGTGTGTATTTGGGGGGAATGAGGATATGGCCAATGTGGAAAATTGTTTTGCTTGACAATATATACTTGTTACTTGGGTTTTGTTTTTCTTTTTTCTGGGGGAAGGAGGAACAGTGGGGGAGGGGGAGGAGAGGTTAAAAGGAGAGAAAACAGATCTGTGTTCAATTTTTTAAAAAGTAAAATTAAAAAGCAAAGAAAGAGAATGGGGGGGGAAGTCAAGCAGGAAAACAGAAGCTAAAGAAACCAATATATAACTCTACAAGGGCAAAGTAAATGAACTAGCCAAGCAATCCAAGATATAAAAATTGACCTCACCTTGCTGGTCTGACTCTGCATTTCGTGAAACAAGTGCACTGACCGCTGGAAATGTAATACTTGACATGGCTGCTACAGTTCCTGCTGCCCACATCATCCTGCAATGATAATGTGTCACTGTGCGATCAAATACTCCAGTCACATAGAAACTAAAAGAATTTTCCTCCACATTTCCTCTGTACCCATGTTGGGGAGTGAATGAATACACACAATATGAGCTTCCCAGTGTGAGTTGTGTTTTTCATTTCTTTTGATTCTTTGCTTTTCCTCTGGAAAGACATAAGCTCAATGCAATGGAGCTCTCTTCTGCTTACATTCATCATGCTTTCCCTCTTCTGATCTAATGAGCAAATTACAAGAAGGAAATTCTTTGCTTTGTACCTCGAAGTTTCCAATTTTCCCATTTCCCTTCAGGCTACCTCATTTGCTTCTACCCACCTAGCAAGCCAAGAAGGAATCGAGGGTGAAATTTAATGCTGGCAGGCTAGCAGAATTCACAAGGGCATATTGTTGAAGTGTAACCAGTGGAAATGTTGAATGAATGGATCTGAAAATTCAGGATAATACTCCAGATTCTTCCTAATGTACTGCCTTTAGCCTCTAACAGCTAGGACTGGGATCTCCAAAGAAGGTAGAAATTAAGGGCCAAAAAAGGAGACCAACTCTAATATTACGAAGGAAAACTGATCCTTTAGACTAGACTTTTTCTCAACCAATTGTATCCAAGTTGAAAATATGATGGAAACCAAGTCCTTATTTCTGGCTAAAATTAGTGGCCAAATGATATGCACATTATTAAAGAGGGGGGGAAAAAACTCTTGCTCCCTTCATAAAGTTTACAGTTAAGAATAATGGGGTTTTGGAACAGCTAGATGGCACAGTGGATAGAATACCGGCTCTGGATTCAGGAGGACATGAGCTCAAATTCAGCCTCAGACATGTAACATCTACTAGCTGTGTGACCCTGGGCAAGTCACTTAACCCCACTGCCTAACACACACACACACAAAAAAAAACGAATAATGGGGTTTCTAGTCTAGTACATAAGTCTAGCCCTAAAAGGTAATAAGAGAGAAATAATGAAGTTATAATGAAATGCTACATATTAAAAACAATGGGAAGAAATTATTTTTTATTTTGTAAGATAATTAACAATTCATAAAAATAGAGAATCACATGCTGACCACCTATATTTAGGTCTCTAAATTGGTTCAGCAAGTATTACTTGATGTACCAGAATTTCTGTGTTAAGTATGTGCAAAAGTATGTATTATAAAGGAGCAGGGCTAGCTCTATCAGTACAACAAACACAATTAGCAACATAATAAACCAGAAGTCAGACAAATAATGAAGAATTGATGAGGATAAAAATATGGCACTGTTCTGACCTTGTAGTAATCCATAAGATCTTTCTGTATTGCAATCTAATTTATTAGGCAGTACCATTAGTATCAAAACATATATGATCTATTTCCTGAAGCAACTTAAACATTAAGAATATGCAAAATGTTTAAAAGTCCCACCCCTCAAAAAAAAACCTTGAAAAAATATGATACATAAAAATATTTTTTTTAACAAAATTTAAATGCTCTAGCACTACTTTTTTCTCAAATTCAAATTTTATAAGAATAGCAATATGGACTAGACTTGTGGTTTCCTCTATACAAGGAACTTGAGGACAAGGAAATTCCCTCTACAAATGTAGCTCGGCACTTCCACTACAACTTACATCCTTATTGAGTTAAGATATGGAGAGGTAAAGTGGTTCAATCAGCCAGAGGTGGAATTTGAAGTCAGCTTTTCCTAGCTCCCAGACCAGCTCTCTGTTCACTATTCCATACTGTCTCTTAGCATTTCTTTTCGTTTCAAATTCAAAACTTACAATCTTATGAAATCCTAAACCTGTGAAATCACTAAAGTTGTATTATATTATAAAATTTGCACATATGCCATTTATAGAAGCCGTTTCCCATTCTTAATTCACTAAAACCCAAAGATCATTCACTTCAAGCCAAAGCTCTTCTAAAGGGCTTATTTAGAAATACACGACCACCAGAAATGCTAGATCCTTACCATGCCTGGGATCCAAAACCATACCAAGCCAACTGGAACATCTGAAAACCCAACCCCAGGAGAACAGTGTTCTTATTTCCTATTGACTTCATCAAGATGCTAAGAAATACCGTCTGAAAAGTAGAAGAGAAAAACTATGAGAAAATCACTTCAAAACATTTCAAGTGATTTGCCGCTTTATAAACAACATGGATATCACAGAATACTACCAAATTATACTAGAAAGACAACCACAAAAGACATTTAGTGCTTTAAAGTTTTCAAAACTGCATACATACACACACACACACACACACACACACACACACACACACACACACACATTCATTTAAGATGATGTATAATGCATTATGACTCAGGATACTTAATAGATAGGGTCATACCACCTTAGAAAATGATGACTATTTGTTTGATTCCAAAGGTCCAGAATTTAGATACCTTCTGAGTTTTGCCAGGAAAAAGGATCCAAAAGCTTTTCCTTATCCTGGTCCCTCTGCACCTCTCCAGTCTAGGGCTAGCCAAAATATAGCTAAACATTCTTCTTCTAATGCTGAACAGGAATTCATTAATTATTATGATCTAAAATTACATTTCTAATTACCTCTGGAGAAATGTTGTTTATTTGTCAACATTTATTAAGCACCCACATGAAAAAACGAAATTGTATGGAGTGTAACTAGTTTTACAAAGCAGGAATTCAATAAATTAAAAATCTAGTGAGAAGACAAACATAAACATATCTATGCTAATATTCCATACAGATACTTCACGTTTCAAGGATTCATGTTTTTGTAAATATGAGTACTCCTTCCAATAACCCAGATCACAACCCAGATACAACTTGCTAAAAGACGGCTTTAGAGAGTTTCTATGGTAAAAGAATTCATCTACATACAAACAACTTGGTGATTGGCCTCTAATAATTCACCGGTGTTTGGATGAAGGAGATGGCATTTGTCATGCTCAAAGTTCTTCCAAGATGGCAGAACCTATAAGTTTGTGCTCTGCTGCCATACAGTCTTTTAAAAACCTAGAGTCATCTCCATTCCACAATGACGCTCTGAAGGAGGCCTCTAATACACATATCTTACACAGAGAATTTTAGAGGTTGAAAAGACCTTTGAAAACATCTGCTTAAGACAAGAAAATTGATGCATGCATATGATAGGTGTACTGAAACGGAGCTGAAAAGTACATATTTTGGGGTTAACCAACTGACTGAAGTTATTATCAGAGATAGGGAAATACTGGATCTATTATTTCATTCATACATGGAATTCCCAGTTGAGGATACTTCCTGTAATGCAGGTCAGAATCTTCTGTATATAAAATCTTAAACAGATGAGTCACAACACTGTGAGATAAAGTGACTTGTCCAGGATCACATAACCAGTTTAAGTCAAAGGGAGGACTTGAACTGCCTAAAAGTACTCCTGGAGTTCTCTGTCCATTACACCAGAGTTGTGTAAGACTCTCAGATGGCTACTGATACAGTGCAATACAACATAGTTAATATTATTTTGTGGAGTCAATTTGCTAACCACAGGAATTAGTTTCTATTTGAATTTACCACTGAACTCCATGATACCTTTTTATTATTAAGAACAAACAAAAAAAAACTTCAGTCATTTAAATTAAAAATTAAATTGATTTACAAATGCAAACACTCAATCTTCTGAATTTAGCATTTTACACAAAGAATATGACGTTTGCATTTATTAAATTTAATTTTTTTTTAATTTGTGAATTTAAAGACATCAACGTGGACATTTCCATACATAAAGAACAGAAAAGAAGATTGTATATGCAATGGTGAAGCTTTATTATGCACATCTTTTTTTAAGTCTATATTCAATTTAACATAGTAGGACCAATAATGCCCACTCGTCAATTATTTCAGAACTTCCTGCTTGTAACTATTCCCTCTCCAAATCTACCCTCCTTCTTAAACCCACCTCCTTTCTCTCCACCTGTTTCTGTTACTCTTTTAATGTATTTTTTAATTTTATTCTTATTCTGAATTTAAACATTAAATAAAATAGCCAGTTCTTTATAGTTCACCAATCAAGAAGAATGTATTAAACACCTACTATGTGCCAAGCACTATATTAAGTGCCAGAGACACAAAGAAAGTCAAAAGACCATCCCTGTCCTCTAGAAACTGACAATCTAACAAGGAGAAAATGTTCAGATATGTACAAACAAGCTATGTAAAGAAAAAATAAATAAGAGAGGGAACATATTAGAATTAATATATAGAAGAGGTAGAGAACTGAACGTAAAACTGCATAGAACATATTCTTTTTAAGTTTGTAAGTTCAATCACTCCACCTTCTCCTCCATATTTGTACATTCTTCTCATGCATGTCAATTAAGAGAACTAGTAAGTTTCTTCCCTGCTTCTTCCTCATTTCTTCCCTAGTGTATTTTATTTTCTGTTCCTTTTCTTTCCCCAAACAAAACCAAACAAAACCATACCTAGGACTCATGTTTTTCTTCCTTAGCTCTTTCTCTGCCATTCAAACACAGCAGGGTTCTGAAGACAAACATTTCTTTTCCCCTTATTAGCATGTAAGCAATTCTTCCTCAGTCAGTCCCAACCAACTGCTCAAATGTGTTTACCTTTGTCTCTTCTATTTGCATTTCAAAGATTCAACCCAGCTGTGGTCTTTTCATCAGGAAAGCTTCAAAGACCTCTTTCATTAAGGTTCAATTTTTTTTCTCCAGTAGAATTATACTCAGTTTTATAGGGTAAATTATTCTTGGTTGTAAGGGCATTTTGTCTTTTGGAATACAGTTTTCCAATATTTTCTCTCTCTTAATCACAGCTCCAGAATAATATTCAAGTCATCTGTGATCTTGACTGTGATTCCGCCTTACCTGAATTCTTTCAGTTCTAGATGTTTACAGTATTTCTTTTCTTTGACCTAGAAGCTCTGGATTTTGATGAGGTCAATCCTTAGTATTTCAGATTTGGGATAGGCAGTTTTCCATTATGCTTCTTAAAATATGGCATCCAGTTCTTATTTGATCACAGTTTTCAAGGAGACAACTAATTTGTAAATCGTCTCTCCTCAACCTGTTTTCTAAGTGAGTTTTGTTTTGTTTTGGTTTTTGGTGAGGCAATCAGGGTTAAGTAATTGCCCAGGATCACAATAAGCGTCAAGTGTCTGAAGGCCAGATTTTAACTCAGATCCTCCTTACTCCAAGGCTTGGAGCTCTATGTCAGTTTTTGATATCAAATACATTTTATACTCTTTTTATACTATTTTATACATTTTGTACTTTTTTTTCAACCTTCTGACTTTAAATTTTGACTTCTAATGTTTTTGCTCTCTCATGAAATCATTTAGTTGTCTGTTCTACTCTATGTTCAGTGACATCATTATTTGGGTAAGGTTTTCTATCTTCTGTTCTAAGTTAATTTTTCTCTTTTTAATTTGTTTCTTGAGATATTTTCTTCTTTTTTTTTTTTTTTGGCTAAGCAATGGGGTTAAGTGATTTGCCCAGGGTCACACAGCTATTAAGTGTTAAGTGTCTGAGGCTGGATTTGAACTCAGGTCCTTCTGACTCCAAGGCCAGAGTTCTATTCACTGCGCCACCTGGCTGCCCCACAAGATATCTATTTTCTTTTAATCTTGTTTCATTTCTTTCAGCCACTCTTGTACTAGACTAGTGGATTAGTCATTCTTTTTGCTAAAGCTCTATTTTTATCTGTGGTATAACACTTTTTTTCTGGAATAACCTCTTGAGCTTGTCTTAACTCATAATATTTCTTCACTGTGTTTAATAGTTTCTTCTGTTTGCTCACAACTCCAGGTTCAGTTTCTGGATTAGAACCTTTTGCCTTTACATCCCAAGTTAGTTGAGCACAATGCCTGGTCAATAGGAAGCACTTAATAACTCCTTGTTGAGTACAAGGTTCTACCTCCTCAGCACTTCCCACTCTTTCTCTTGGATGGGGTGGACAGCCCAGCTTGGGCCTGCTTCCCAGACTTCTAGAAGTCAGGGCCTATACAATTTGGGATAGGATGACTGAGACCAGGCCCTGTACTCTACCACAGTCCTTACTTCGCTTCTTCTCCTCGTGACCTAATGCAAGTATTGGTCTTGGCCCTTTTCTGTCTCTTCATCATATAAGCCTGCAAAGGAATCTGGTTCTGTCTCCTGCTACTGTCCTGACAGACCCCCATCAGATGCTAGAGTTCTAAGATATTTGCTAGTGTACATGTGGGAATCTTCTGTAACCTTTCCAGTCACCATCTTAGCCAAAAGTGCACTTGTCTTTATTACTAATGATCTACATACAAAAACTCAAGTCCTGTGACTTAAGCTCAGCACCTTTTCCACACTACCATGCCACAAATATTTTATCCTAGAGGCAACCTAGAGTCACTGAAGTTTCTTAGGTAAGGGGAGTCAGATGGTCAGATCCACCCTTAAGGAAAATAACTTTGGCAGCAGCTGTGCAGAGAATAGAATGAAGCTAAGGACAGACTAAAGGGAGAAGACCACTTAGAAGGCCATTGTAATAACTAATACAAGGGATGATTAAGGGCCTGAATTAAGGCAGAAGCTGTGTGAGCAGAGAGAAGGAGCCAGATATGAGATATTGTAGAGATAAAAACAGCAAAATGTGGCAAATGACTGGGTACATGGGTGAGGGATAGTAAAGACAATGAAGGACAATTCTGGGAATTACAAATCTAGGAGACTTGAAGAATAGTGGCACCTTTGAAAGAAATAGCAAAATTTGTAAGAGGGGTAGGTTTGGGGGGGCAAGGAAGTGAGGCAAATTCTACTTTGAACATATTGGAATGGAAATGTCTCTGGGACAGGCAAATAGGTTAGCCTATATTCTGTCTTTCAATGTGTTCATGATCCCATTGGTGTGCGTATATTCTGTTACAAATGAGAAAGTATCTACATTTCCTCACCCTGTGGGATTCTTGTCTGTATTCCCTTCCATTATAACCTTGTTAAAGGATCTACCTCTACATAACAGAAAATAGCAAATTTATCTGAAAAGGAGGCTATATCTTACCTTCTACAGTCCCATGTTTATGATATAGGAAAAAGGGAAATGAATCCTGCCAAGTACTCATATTATACATATCCTTCTAAAATCTACTTCAGTTCCTCAAATTTAGTGGATGTCACTCTTACTCAAATTTCCTTCCCTCTTTGAGCTTCTAGATAGTCTTTCTTGGTAGTAATATTATTTGGCAAGACAGATTTTCACTACACCAAACAGAAGTAATGGAACTAAATCACATGCTCCTAGACAGGCTGCTTATACTATCTGGAGATTCAAGACTTCAACTGTTATAAAATCTGCCTTGAGTTCACAAGATGTAAAGGTCCTGAAGAAGTTACAAAATATAATCTGAAAAATACGAAGAAGCAATTCAATAATTTAATACCCAATAACTCCAATATGCTATCGAAAGTGTTTATTTTGACACTTACCTGAGCTACAATAGACAGGATTCCTACCATGGCAATAAATGCTGCAATTTTAGCTGATCCAAAACCTATAATCTGAGAAAGTTGATAAAAAAAAAAGATATTAGTAATGTTGATATCCTAATGGTAAAAAAAAATGCCAATTATTTTTTCATCTACAGGAAAACAATGCTGGGATAAGGCTCACAAATGCAGTATCTAAATGACTAACCAGAGAATTCTGAGATGTGAAAATCTAAACTTAAACAGGGTTCATTCACAAGGTGTATACATAAAAATTATTAAATAAAGAAAAATATTCAATGTATTTTTTAAAGATATAAGTCTGCTCCTTCTTGTTTTAAATTTTTTTGAGGGGAGGGGACATTCTTATGAATTCTAGTACTTATATCAAATTATTAAAAGACATAGAAACCATCTGCCAGTTTAACCAAAGCATTTGCCAGACAAATCCTCTAATACCTTATCAAGAAACATCACATACATGGATGAAACATGTATTTTAAAGGTCACTGAAAATTGTTTTGGCTGGAAAATTAACCACCCTACTGCCACAAACAAAACACAGGTAATATTATTATGAAGTAAATTAGGCACAGGGTGGGGAAGGGGCAGGAAGAAGAAAGAATTTGGAACTCAAAAAATTTTTTTAAGTGAGCGCTAAAAAATTTTTTAATGTAATCGGGAATACGTAATGAAATAAATATTTATTTTTAAAAAAGTAAATTAGGGATTATTCTACCATTGAAAAGTAAACCAACAAGCTGGGAGGTCAGGGGGAGGAGGAGCTGTCTTCACTCTCTAAGACATCCCAGGACAAGTTAAAATGAATGCAGATCCACCAAATGCTCATATCTTTAACCTCACAGCTGTGGTGCTGGTAAGTTAGAGGAGGTGAAAGGATTATGGTATATAACATAAAATCCTCTAGCATTTAAAGCCATTATGGAACAACTTAGACCCTTCCTATCTTTCCAGTCTTCTTAAACTTTAATTCCCTCCATATGCTCTACAATCCCTTTCTGTCTCAGAATTCTTCAGGCTAAGACAGAAAATCCATAGCAGACTATTACCTAAAACACAGAAAACAGAATTATTTTTTTTCTTCAACAGGAGAGAGAGTGTCAAGTTCAGAGAACACCAACTTGGCCAGTGTGTCTGGAATGCATAAAGGAGATTAATGTGAATAACTATGGAAAAGAAGGCTAAAACCAGATTGCAAAGGGCTTTAAATGTCAAGCTATGGATTTTCTATCTTAGCCTAAAGAATTCTGAGACAGAAAGGGACATGTTCCAATTGCATAACTATGTTTTAGGAAGCTCTGTTAAATATAATAGAGGGGAAATACTGGAAGCAGGAAGAACAACGAGAAGGGAATTCAAAGAGCTGAGGTGAGAGGTATGAGGGACCAACTTAAGACAATGGCTATTTGAGAGTGAAGAGAAGGGGAGAGACTCAACCCGGCAACTTATTGAACAGGGAGGAGGGGAGAGGAGAAGTGAGGGAGAGTAAAGAGTCAAGATGACACTAAGGTCATAAACCAGAGTGAATGGAAGGATAATGGTGCTCTCAACAAAAACGGGATGATTTGGAGTAAGGACAAAAAAAGGCCCCCACCTACAGCTGAAGGGTAAGAAATGATGTTCGGGGCAGCTAGGTGGCACAGTGGATAGAGCACCAGCCCTGAAGTCTGGAGAACCTGAGTTCAAATCCAGCTTCAGACCAAACACTTGACACTTACTGTGTGACCCTGGGCAAGGCACTTAACCCCAATTGTCTAAAAATAAAAAAATAAAATAAAAAGAAATAATGTTCCAGCAAAGTAGAATGAGAAGTCATCACACACTAGAAAACAAGGTGTTAGGGAAGCCAAGGAAAAACAAAATATTCAGTAGGAAGGGGTAGTCAACAGTGTCAAAAGCTGTAGAGATGTCCAGAAGAGTAAGGACTGAGAAATGACCAGTAGAATTAGCAGTTGAAAGATTTGTTAAGTAGCTTAGGGAGAAGAACTTCAGAAGCCAGATTATAAGGAACTGAGAAACAAGGAGATGAAGAAATGGAAACAATAAATAGATAAAGCTTAACCTAAGAGTTTGGCTATGAAAAGGAGGAGAAATATGATGACTTCAGAAATATGATAGCAGACTTCAGAAAAACCTGGAAAGACTGGTATGGTCTGATGCTGAGTGAAGTGAGCAGAACCAGGAGAATGTTGTGCATAGTAACAGCCACGCTGTACAATGACTAATATTGATAGACTTCACCCTTCTCAGCAATGCAAGGATCTAAGACATCTCCAAAGGCCTTATGATGGAAAATGCTATCCACATCCAAAGAAAGAACTATGGAGTTTGAATGTAGATCAAAGCATACTATTTGCTATTTTTTTCCTTCTGTTGTGTTTTGTTTCCTCTTTCTGGTGATTCCTCCTATTGGTTCTAATTCTTCCTTACAACACATGACTGATGTGAAAATATGTTTAATAGGAATGTATATGTATAGTCTATATCAGATTGCGCACCGTCTTGGGGAAGGAGGTGGGGAAGAAGGAGAAGAAAAATTTAAAACTCAAAAGCTTATGGAAGTGATTGTTGATAAATCAAAATAAATTAATAAAGTTTTTAAAAAAAGGAGGAGAAATAGCTTATAATAAGGAGATGGCAGGAACAAGGAAAGGATAGGGGAGAATTGGGCATGTTTTATAGGTAATACAGAAGAAGTTAGCACATAAGCAGAAAATGGAGAGACAGAGAGCTTGGGGAGAAAAAGGGAGGAGGAAGAAGAGTACAAAGAGGATGATGAAAGAAGCTGGATATGGGGAGTAACACAGGGTTGAGTTTTGGTAAGACATGAGTAGCAAGAGAACAAGGAGGCAAGGGATTCCAGGGCAGAGGTCTCATAACTGAACAGCTTCTCTACAGGGTTGTTGTTTTGAGTCACTTCAATTGTGTCCAACTCTTTGTGACCCTACTTGGGGTTTTCTTGGCAAAGACACTGGAGTGGTTTGCCATTTCCTTCTCCAGCTCAGTTTACAGAGGAGGAATTGAGGCAAACAGGGTTGCCCAGGGTCACACAGCTAGTAAATGTATGAAGCTGGATACGAACTCATGAAGATGAGTCTTTCTGATTCTAAGCCCAGGCCTCTATGCTATGGGGCACAGGAGGAAAGGGAGGGATGACTAATGGTCACAATCATGATTCAGAATAGATTGAGAAAAAGTGAACCACAGGAAAAGCTGGAAAGATAAGAACCCATAATCAAGGAAAGCAGTTTGTTTTTCTGAAACAAGCTCTAAGGTCAAGGCATACCCTTCTACCTCGGGTGTTACTTCAATAAAACTTAACAAACTTCTGAAGAAAATTAACTTATCTGGAATATAAGCTTTCAGATAATTTTTAAAAGAAAGATGTAATCTTCCTTTTCTCACTGTATAGTACTGAGGGCTATTTCCTGCTGGAATGAGTTCTACCTTTTAAAAAATTTCTAATCTGTGCCTAAGTGTTTCTTTCAGTGAAAGCAGACTTAGAAATTTTCTCTATCCTTTTTTGGCAGAAATAACATAGGATGAGTTCTGACTCTGACCCTAGAGGAAAACAGGCTCCACTTAGGAGTCTATACTGGAATTAAGGAGATAAGCATCAATGTAACAGGTCACCCAGGCCCAAGGACATAATACCATTGTTCTTGGGCTGCAACACCAGCTTAGGCTCTCCAGCTGGCAACAGGTTCAGCCACACAGTCAAACTACTCTGTAACCTCTGAACTGAAGGCTAGTTTTCAAAATAGTGAACACTGACTGATGAGAAGTCCAGCAGTATGGGTAGGAGCCAAAACCCTTCAATGTGATGGGTATAGTAGAGGAGTTTGATTACCAGGGGCTTTTAACAGCAAGACGGTAAATGGGACATTGGTGCGTCATGGCTGATAGTCTGGTGTTCTACCCCTTTCACCGACGTGACAGATTAGTGAGCCCTACCATACGCAAACAACTCAGGTATTCAAAGGCTACTCACCTGTCTCAGATAGAGAAAAAAACTAGAATACTGCCCGGCTTCAGGAAGGTATGAAAGAAAGACAGTGATACAGATCAGCAAGACTGTGGAATCTTTTCCCACTTTCTTCAGAGACTGAACAGGAGGAAAAAAAAGAAAATACACATGTAAGTATACTGTCAATGTCCATGACACTGATATTCCCTGATATTTTACAGTGAGCACCAACGCTATGATCCCTTAGATAAATAAAGAGTAGTAGACAATAAAAATAATAAAGGTAGATAAATCAAGAGCTGACTACGTTACCAAAAAAGAAATCCATGGAATAATGCAACTTAATGATTACTCCATTACAATCTTTTCATCAGAAAAATATGTAAAAAATGGTAATGACTCAAAACTCTGGAAATGCTTGTTTTTGGTCTCTTGAAGATCCAGAATACCCTATTTGCTGTCTGTTAAATACTATTGTTGTGCCCCACGCTGAAAATCAGATAATAAATTCTGAAAAGGCAAATACCCTTGGAGACTATCAAAAAAATCAAAAACCTCTCCTTCATTCATCATAGAGTTAAAAGCAATAACCAGCAGGCTAGTTTCATTACTCACAAATTCACTTTTCATTCAATATTTGTAAAGAGAAGAACAAAGGAACTGTGGCAAAAGGAAAGCTACCACAACCCTAAGGCGAGCCACTGGTGACACTCCTTCTCTGCTTTCTCCTTATCCTTGAGGCCACTTCATATCTTAATTTAAAAAAAAAAATCATCAGAGCAAAGCTCAAATCCTGTGTGGATCCAGCCTTACAGTCACTGATTGTCAATAATCCATCCCCTACTTTTCTCAGTGGAGAGATACCCAGGATCAAGTAGCATTGGTCAAGGCTGTAGAAATTTTCTTGATTCGTATGGCAAGGTCGCAAATTATGAAAATCAAACATATGCTGTTTCTTGATTGATAAAGTTTTACCGCAAAAGGGTCTGCCTGCTCCCATGAAATTGAAGGTCCCCAAGAAGCAGGCCTCATTTTTTCAGACAGAGACTCCGGGACAGCTAACAAGATGAAGCAGATATCCAAGAGAGCCACCACTGTGGCCACAAGCACAACCAGGTTATCTCCATAGCTGGCAGACAGATATGCTCCAATAGCAGGGCTGGTTACCAAACTTGCTGCAAATGTGGCAGATACCTGCAAGAAAATGCATCCAAGAATTCAGTGATTCCTAATCTTTTTCAAACAGCAACACTGTATGCTATTAACTTGGTTATTTTTAAACTCCATGATACCCCTTCCTTCCTCCTGTAAGTATTCTACAGCATATATGTCTATGAGTATAATACACGCATCAATATACATACACATAGAAAGCGGTGATACTTCAAGTGAATTCAAATAAATTTTGTTCTGAATATGGTCTAACAATTCTAACAGGAAACACTATAAAGTGCTATATGCTACAAGTAAAGGGCTGGGAATCTTCCTAACATTAAAAATAACCACCACAACAATGTCCAGAACATTTCAGTAAGGATAAATTTTTAATTAGATTAGAAAAAAAATCATAACATATAAATTTCTCTAGAAACTAATTTATGAGTTAGCCAAGTTCTTTCCTCTTTATTCCACTGCTCTCATTTTATGACCATTTGGGGTTTGTTGAATATTCCACTAAAATGAGAGACAGAAAACAAAACACAAGCAGTTCAAGAAAGAATATTTCAAAGTTGGAAAGGCTGATGCTTTTAATTTACAAGGACTACCTATATTATGAATTTCAATTATCAGCACTACTCTTGTCTTCTACTACCAAAGATAAAAGGTTGTGTTGTGATTTCTCTTTATATTATGTTTCTAGGAAAAACTGGAATTTCAACTTGATTTCTGACATTCAGAAATATATATATTCAGCAAATAAAGCAGGCCACAGTATGACCCATCACCACTGAAAGACATGGCCTGAGTCCATCTCTACCCTATAAGCATGAGACAGCAGTACCTATAAGCACAGAAATCACATCCTAGTTGGCCCCAAGCACATTCTTTGCATATCCAACCCCTCAACATCTTCCACTTTCTTTAGTTTCGTTTCTGAGAATTCCAAAGGAGCTGTAATCTAGACTAACTTAAGAGAGCACATTTAGCCAAAATGATAAAAGAAGTTCTCGTAGGGCTCAACAAATGACTATTTGTTCCTGAGATCAACATGTTTTGAAGATGAAGCTTCAGTAACTGACTTTCTCTCTCTATACAATGCGTATGTGAGGAATCCCTTGCAGATCTAAGGAGGACACTGAAATCTGTACATACTCTCCATAATTTTTCTTCTTCATTCCTGCCATTCTCAGTATCTGGATAATTTTTTCTTTTGGAATAACTTCTCCATTAATTGATCTCTTCTTCACAAGCTTCTGAATCATTAGCTTCTGTTTGGCATTCACAACCTGAGCCCCACCTAATCTTGCTCATATTCAGCCTCAGAGCACATGACTCCTCTCCACTCCCAACGTGGCTCAGTCACATTGGCTCTCTTGATATTCTACCACCCCATGACCTGCTGCCATGCCTCTGCACAGGCTAGGTCTACGCCTGTGATACACTCGATCCTAACTTCCACCCCTTAGAATCCTTTCGAGACTTGGCTCAGGTGTCACCTTGAACAGGAAGCCTTTCCTGATTTTCCAGCAGCTAGTGCCTTCTCCTCAAAATTAGTGTATAAATTTATACTCACGTTGTCTCTTAATGGGAGCTCCCTAAGGGCAGGTACTTTCATTTAGGTCTCTATATCTCACAGTGTCTGGCACATACCATATGATTAATAAGTGCTTGCTGATTGTCACTTCCCACCCAACAACCCATTCCCACTGCTCCTAGCAGCTGTCCCATTAGCCCCAATGACCTTGACCTTCACCTCTCAAAGCCCAGATGCCTCCCATCTGGCCTCAGTCATGATTGGACTACTGCAGCCCCACATAGCCTGGGGCATCCCTGGCTCAGACTGCACCTTCCCATGTCACTGTAGGGAGTGAAGACTGGGCCGGATGCCCCAAAAAGCCCTCCTGGTTCCTTGGCCTCCACAATCACCTCCTCAACCCTGCTGCCTCTGCCTCCCTGACTGTCTCTGCCACATCTCAAAGCCACTGCTGCTCCTGGACCAGATCAGTTCCTGATGCAGTCAATCTAATCCCAGGTAGGAGCTAATGTCCTTAGCTACCCTGGCTCAACCTGCACCTGTCCTCGTTGCCACTGCTACTGACTCGTTGGAAGGAGGTTAAGAGGGCCAAAAGATCCCAAATCTCACCCTAAAGTCATCACCATAGTCCAAATAGAGCAGCCTCTGACAGGAACTGGCCATGCTGGATGTTAGGAGACTTCAGGGCCTGTTTTTGTTTTTCCATACCCTAAATGAACCCCTTGTACACTCCATTAGACATATGGCACCCTTAACTGATGTCAAGGACAGCCTGGAGAAGGAAGACACTGGAATAAAGGAAATCAGTTTCTCTAAGAAGCTAGAACAATAAACCACGGAATGGGAGATGAAAGCCTAAACTAAGGGTAATGTGAATGGAGAAATGCAAGCAGATTTATGAGATGCTATGGGAGGGAGATTAGACTGAAAAAAATAAAATTTAATGTAAAAAATAGTGTAAAAGAGAAAAACAGTTGCTACAAGGAACAAGATTGAGCATATAAAAGTAAGAAGGATAATAATAGCAGTAGAAAAGGCAGGCCAGACCCAGAGTTGAGGGTCATCAGGATATGTGGGTCAGAAAAACAAGAAGGCAAAGGAAGAAGACAGCGCATAGGATCAAGACTATGAGGTGAGTAAGCTCCAAATGGATTCATAACTCAAATACAAAAAGTTACATCACAAGCAAATGAGAGGTAGAAGGGGAGGGGAAAGAAGAAATTATCTTTTTAGAGTGATGGATAAGGAAATCATTCATGTCCAAACAAGAGATAGGATCACAGACTATAATTCAGAGAATTTGATTATATAAACTTAAAAGGTCCAAACAAGAGATAGGATCACAGACTATAATTCAGAGAATTTGATTATATAAACTTAAAAGGTCCAAACAAGAGATAGGATCACAGACTATAACTCAGAGAATGTGATTATATAAACTTAAAAAGTGTTTGCATAAATCTAATACAGTTAATATAAGAATAGAAACTTAATTGCGAAAAAAAATCTTTGCAGCACGTTTCTCTGACAAAGATGTCATGTCCAAGCTATCTAGGGAGCCGACTAAAATTTATAAGAATAAAAGCTATTTCCCAATAGATAAACGGTCAAAGGTTATGAAAAAGTAGCTTTTCGAGAAAGAAATCCAAGGTATCAATAGCTATCAATATCTAAGCTATCAATAACTAAAGAGAACATGAGAATAAAAAATCTAATCACTAATAAGTAGACAGAAGCAAATTAAAGCAACTCTAAGGTTCCACTTCATACTGATCAAAGAGGCAAAGGTGATCCAAAAAAATGAAAATGACAAATATTACTGTGACTGTGGGAAAATAAGCATTGATGCATATTGATAATGGTGGAACTGTAATTGGTCCAGCCATTCTAGAAACCAATTTGGAACTATGCCCCAAAATTTACCAAATTGTGCTTGCACTAACCCAGAAATACCAATACTAGTATTTTAGCCCAAAGAGATTTTTAAATTTTTAATATTTTATTTTTTCCCTAATGGCATTTTTAAAATTTTTTCAACATTTTTTTTAAAAGTTTTGCACTCCAAATTCTATCTCTCCCTTTCTCCTGTCCCTTCCCTCTCTCTGAGACAGCAAGCAATCCAATAGAGTTCATACATGTGCAATCATGTAAAACATTTTCATATTATTCATTTTGTACAAAAAGATTTCAATTTTAAAAAAATAACAAAAAAGTGAAAAATAGCATGCTTCAGTCTATATTCAAACAGCATCAGTTTTTCCTCTGGAGGCAGACAGAATGCTTCATTATGAGTCTTTTGGGTTTGTCTTGGATCATTGTATTGCTGAGAATAGCCAAGTCATTCACAACTTTTCACTGTACAATATTGCTTTTACCGGGTAAGACGTTCTCCCGGTTCTGCTCACTTCACTTTCCATCAGTTCACGTAAGTCTTTCCAGGTTTTTCTGAAATCATCCTGCTTGTCATTTATTATAGCACAATAATATTCCATCAAAATCATATACCACAGCTTGTTTAGCCATTCCCCAATCGATGGGCATCCTCTCTATTTCCAATTCTTAGCCACTACAAAAAGAGCTACTATAAATATTTTTGTATAAATAAGTACTTCTCCATTTTTTTTTGGTGTCTTTTGGATATAGTCTTAGCAGTGATATTGCTAGATCAAAGGGTATACACAGTTTTATACCCCCCAAAGAGATTTTTAAAGAAAGATCTATACGTTCAAAAACATTTTTAACAACTTTTTTTTTGTAGTGGCAAAGAATTGGAAACTTAATAGGCTATCTATCAATTGGGAAATAGCTGAATAATATGTGATTTATGAATGAAACATTATTGCTTCATAAAAAATTATAAAAATGGGAAAATATATTCTAATAAATTTGAATCATTTCCCTGTATCTCTTAGAAATGAGACCTTTATCAGAGAAACTTGCATCGAAGTTTTCCCCAACCCCCCCTCCCGCCAAAAAAAGACCCTGGATGACAATGTGTAATGGAAAAGGGAAATATGTGGCCAAAGATTGAGGGAATGAATGAATAAAAGTGTGGCATGTGAATGTAATACAACATTATGAAGCCATAAGCCAGGATGAATAGAAAAAATCTGGAAAAATGTAGGAAGACTTACATCAAGAGATGCAAAGCAAAGAAACAGAGCCAAAAGAATATCCAAAATGATGTAAATGAAGTCAATGAGGAAAAGCAACAAAGCCTGGGTCAACTAAAATATTGTTACCACATTATTAAAGCTAAAGGAAAGGAAGGAAAGAATTTATCAAGTGCCTGCTTTGTGCCAAGCACTGTGCTAAATACTTTACAAATATTATTTCATTTGATCCTCACAACAACCCTGGGTGATAGGTACTATTATCCCCATTTCACAGTTAAGTAAGCTGAGGGAAACAGAAGTTAAGTGATTTGCCCAGGGTGTAGTAAGCATCTGAGGTTGAATTCACTTACTGACCCTAGGCCTAACATTCTATCCTTCCTTTC